GTATAGTGTGACATGGTCATTACATTTTTTTTTTTTTAGATCTTGTAGTTCTGTAGCTACTGCCCTTCCTGCGTTTTGGACTACAAGCAAATGATTTACAGAATAGTAATGTAACCCTGAACTCTCTTACTGCTATCCTGAGGTCTCATACTGCTACAAGCTGTGCCCATTACAGTGTAGACAGCCATGAAATTTCATAAAATACCTCGTAATACAATCAGGATACGTAATAAATGCAGATACTCTGTCCTAGAGTAAAGCAGATGCGTATTATGTACAGATAGTTGTGTGTACTGTATTTTGTAAAAACCATGGAGATTTTTAGGAGACCCTCTATTCATCTATATGGTGTGGCATTGTGAGGCAATACCACGGTGTTAGGTGGCCTCAAAGTCACCCAGGGTTCTCAGCCAGAGGGGCTGAGTGGCTCCAGGAAGACATTACTGGTACCAGGAGAGAACTGCCTTTTCAGTTCTTTCTGGGTTTTCTGGATCAAGGTTGGGATCCTGGAGCCAGGAGATTTCTTAGAGCTCTGGGTGGGAAGAAATCTCCATTCCTGGGTCCATGCTTTGGTGGTGACCAGCACCTGATTGTGCACCTGTTTACATCCCTCATGAAGTGTGTGCTGGGATGTGTTCAGGGCCCCACCTGTGAGTCAGGAGAGCTCCACCCTGGAGTCAGTGTGGAGGCCAGGGCAGCAGGGAGCTGCGGGTTTGTGAACCATATTGAGAGGATTGGCATGTTATTGCTGTTGTCTGGAGGAACCAGACAGTGGCCCTAAAGATTGAGGCCGGAGCAGCAGTGCTGCGAAAGAGACTTGTTAAAAGACTGGGACACCTTGAGTGTACGTGACAACTCGAGGATTGGTGAGCCCCTATCTGTTATGCTACAGCAAGCTATTTATGTTGGATTTCGTGTTATCTATCGTTTTGAAAGCAAATAAACTGCATTGTACTTGCACCTCCGGTCTTCAGTGGAGTGTCCTTGTTACAATGGTGAACACAGGTTGCGGAGTACACGCAAGTATGTGTATGACACATAGCAATGGGCACAGGACTGCTGCTGTATACAGATTGTGCTTGTCAATGTTCCATGAACCTCCATTCAACAAAAGTGAAAGAAGGTGTTTTTCCACAAAGCCAACTGCTTTCTAACAAGGAAGGACATCGTTGACATCAAGTTATACACATTTCAAGTTCATGGATGTAATGCCTATAGTTGACCACAGACCTCTCAGGGTTGTTGCACACATTTTGGGATTTGCAAATCTTTCAGTGAAGACTGTTCAAAAATATGTTTCATTTTGGTAGCCTTGGGAGAAACGTACTTGCCAACACCGAGGCACCCTGAATAAATATTTTGCCGTTGGGGAGTTAGGCTTCTTCTTCCTTAGATCGGTAGACTCAGTTTGTCGTCTCCTTAGCCCTTCTCTTGTCAAATTGTGTATTTTTTATTCTAATTCTTTTATAATTTTGTGATGTAGCTGTGGTCTCATAGACAGGGTTTCTTCTGCTGTGTGTCGTTGTCCTTACTCCTTTCTTTGTTCCATCCCTCCTGATTAATGACACTAGTGCCCGCTATCTTTTAAAATATCTAACCTGTGCAGTTTACGCTCTCTTTATTGTCAGAAAACTGTTTATTTACTTTTTTTAATCTAAAATCTTTAAAAAGTTAAAACAATTATCTGATTTTATTTTAAATATAGATTTTTAATTCAAATTTACAGTTAAGTCAATTTAATTATAAAATCTTTAGCGTTTACTAAAATTAACTGTCATCTGTAAGCTACTGGTTACTAAATTGGCCATGAACTTCACATACATTCTCGACCTGCTCAGGGTCACCTAGATTAATGGACTCCATGCTAATAGAAGGTGAGCTTGAGAATGTCAAAGCCTAAGAGAATGGTGAACTGTTGGTGATTGAGCCAGAAGTACTTGAGTCCTGTGCATTTCCCAATTTAATGCATGGGGAGTCGAAAGAGGAGTGGATTATGTATACTTTATCCCTAATTTCTATATTTAAGACAGGGAAGAGATTTAATTTCATTGGCCGCTTATGAGGCTCTTTGATAACTCGTATATAGATTGTAATGATCAGTCCAATGCAACAATGAAGAAGTGAACTTAAATTCAAAAGTAGAAAAATGTCACCAAGGATACACAGATAAGCCTAAAACCACAATCAAACGATATTTACTAGGTGTTTCAGATTAGTTTAAGGGGCATCTGATTTTATTGTTAAGCAGAATAAAGGCATATTATTTAAGGTGAATCTCTATACACACTATGGACATATTCTTAACAAGTAGTAAATGAGCTTTAAAACAAACCCTTAAAGTGACACTAAAGACAGGAGTTGAATCTTAAAATGCATTGAAGTACCTTGTGTTTGTTGTAAAGTAAGCCACCGCAGCAAGCGCACTCCCGTGATCACAATCTCAATACAAATTGGTAAACTAAACGTGAGATTGTAGTCCATCAGGGGAGCGAGCTTGGAATGGTAGTTACTGTACAACACACAGGAACCATTGGGAACAAAAGTAGCCACCCTCCAGGAGGAAGGACAGTGGTCGGCACCAATTCAGAGATGATTTGAGGATCTACAGCTGAGTGTTACACAAACTACATTTTTGTTAATTGGGTATCTGAATGCCTTTTTTAAGATGTTACACCTGAGTTTAGAGTCACTTCAACCTTAATCTGTTGAATTTTTTTGTAATGATTGTTTTCCTATTTCCAGTCATGTGTCCGCCTCAAAAACTGCGTAAATCGAAAAGCATATTGCATTAAAGTGATTGTTAGCTATATTTACTATTTAAGCAAACATTTTGCCTAGATACCACAAAATGCCTATTGCCTTTACTAACCAGAACAGAGTTTAGTGTCACTTTTATTGACACCTGCAGGCAATGTGGAGCACTTCATTCTCACAGTCCACAGCTGAAGCATGGAAGTCAACTCAACAGCTCGGCACCTTCTGCTCCCGCGTTGCAAAGCCCCAGCAGGGGGAGCTGCTTCTGAGAGAATTACTTAAACAACTTCGGTTCTTCTGCTGTGAACTGTAAGGATGACTTGCTGCACAGAGTCTAGTCACAGATTCTTTTTACGTAACATAGTTTTGCATATCTTTTTAATGTTTCACAAGTACATTGGATTTTTAGTCTTGGTACGTTTGCTATTAACTTAACACAGTTTAATGTTTTCACATTTAGGGCTTGTTCACACCCGCATTATAAAATGTGTTCTGGATGTTGTCTGTTGTGCAGGGAGGGTGTGAAGGGCAGTGCTTTGTGTTACAACACAAGGCACTGTTTAGATTTTCTTTTTCTTGAAGTGTCACATTCTTGAAGTGTCGCATGACATTTCATTCAAGTCTATCTACATCAGCCAGTTGCAAAGGGCTCTAGTGCAGTGGCATATGCTGTGTAAAAATGCAGCATGTCAGCATTTTTATGCAACACACTGCAACTCGCCTCAATGCAGCATTGTGGTGTAAACAGGGCACATAGAAAATGTTTTCTATGTACCCTTGAGTTGGACCTGCGCTGATCTGAAACAGAGGACCTGTGAATGAGCCCTTAGTAGGGTGTTGGTGGATTGTATGAGATAATAGTGAGTAAAGTGTTCTGTATTTTGTTCAGTAATTTTGAACAAGTATAAACTAAAGGATACTTATTGTTGTACAAGTCTCATTTTGGAAAATTTATGGGGTGTGTGGCCTTTAGTGAACTTTCAGTTCTTCTGCGTGAAAACACATTTTAAATGTGGAAACGTCAGTAATGCATATGTGATTTTGACCAGCAGTGCAGCATAGCAGCACATCAGCTGCCTTGATCCAATATTGCATGTATTTATGACTGAGATCAGAGAACAGTTATTCGGAAGCAATGCCAATCAGAAATGTCAGTTAAAAAAATGCTATAGCAGTCTAGAAATGTACTTACCATTATTTAGAAGTTGAGAAGAATTTTTTACATCACCATTTTGAGTTTGTCCTCGTTATTCCTTATATGGGCTAGACGTACTCCGATTTTCTTTGCTCATGTCATGTCGGCTATCTGGTAAAAGGGAAATTAGTAGATGTCCTACAGAAAGCATGCATTCATAAATACATTGGACCTAAGAAGGCATATTAGCATTCTTCAGAGAACTGCATGTATGTGTCTCTGATAGATCATAGCTAACATTTTGTTATGTATGTCTGATTATGCTACAGATGAAATGTATTATTGTATTGAGTGGCTGTATACTGTAGCTTACTAAAAGAGAAGCCAGCATGACACTGAGATTTTTTACATTGGCATCCAAGGATTGCATTAAACATCCATTTTATCGTGTGTGAAATGGGACACCAACATTTACTTCTAATTCTGCAATTATAGTGGTCATAAATGTGATTTTGTGGCTAGAAATAATTTTTTAAGCTGTCCCCACGGATCTTGTAGGAATATACATTTTCTGTTTTGGTTGTATTAATAAACGTTTGTATATATTTTTTTTTTATACAAGTTTGGTTTTTTCAATGCACTTCGTGGATTCTATTTTCTTAAAAAATCAAAGTGCCAAACTGGCTTCTCTTTTGGCAATTATACTTTATGGGATAATGGCATTCAAGGAAGTGTTGTCTCTATTCACTTTTTGTTCAGGTTTTTTCTATATATAACTTACATTAAGGGGTCTATTTAAAAACAAAAATCTCCCAAGCTTCACATCATTTTATGAAGGGTTTCCATTGGGAAATGTGTGAATCCTGGGTGATAGAACCTTAGATGTTCAGGGCCCTCCTTACCATCTTGTTTTGAATTGTATTGTAATTATAATGTCTTCCCAATATTGTAAAGCGCTGTGCAAACTGTTGGCACTATATAAATCCTATATAAAGTGCAGTGTTTATGTACTGTAGTTCATGTAATACGACAAAGATTCGCTTTATGTGCCTTGGAAACAAGAAACCTAGTAGGTTGTACTCACACAGTGCTTTGTTTATTTATTTTTTAGGCTATGTGGCTGATGCTGCAAACAGATGAGCCTGAGGACTTTGTGATATCTACTGGGGAGGTCCACAGTGTTCGCGAGTTTGTGGAGAAAGCATTCAAGCATATCGGGAAAACCATTGTGTAAGCAAATGACACAGCATTGCACCCTCACTAACATTATTGTAGCACTGGAGCAGTATAAGCAATTGATTACAAATCATACCAGTTGTTAATAAGACACGAAGGCATGCTTAGGGGTTTTATGCTAATTATCCATTACTTACTGATGGAAATGAAACATTTTCTGCATTGCAGAGTTGCTTATGCTGTCCTACTTTGGAAACGTTTCATGACATCAGGGACAGTTTGCACATTTGTATAGAATACACTGCACCTCATTCCTGTTTAAAATAGCCATTAGTCAGGTTCTCTGAAATTGGCATATTTGCAGGTTGGAGTGTTTTTACGATTTAATTTTTTGCCTGCTAGGTATAAATGGCAGACATACAATCATGTTATTTATCTGATAAATGAATAGCTGGATAATGAATTACTGATTGTTACATAGTATTTGAGATTGAACAAAGACACAGGTCCATCAAGTTCAACCTATTGTGTGTATGTTTGTGATTCTGCATATGTATGCGTGTGTACCAGTCCCCATGTGAGTTGTCTTACTAGAATAAATGATGGATCATTTCCATTCTTACCGGTTCGTTATAAAAACAGTAAGCAAATTATTCATGATGCCCAATGATACTCAGGCACATACAGACATGATGACCTGTTACCTTGCCCACTGTCACTTTGAGAAGTCTCAAGTTTACTTTGCCTATAGGTTTATTGAGAATAATGTATTTATCACAGGCTAAAAAAATGCTTGCCAAATCTTTTTGCTTTCAGACCTTTTTTTTTGTATTGCTTTAAAATGTATGCGAATGCTTTGGTGGTGTATGCCAGTTTTTTTTTGTTTCAAAATATTTATTAATTTTCAGTTAGAAAAAAGAACACAATTGGTTTACACAGTATAGTGCAATAACAGAGTATTCGATGCATACAGTATAATTCAAACTTGAGATGCAGATGCATTGTTATACATTATAATGACATCCAGTGCATAACCAAGGGAAAGATAAGAAAAGAAACGAAGAAAGTCAGATAGGGGGTCCATTGGTGGGGGTAGCACCATTAGTAACAAGAAGGTATCCCAAAGGGTCCGTGAGCCTTAGTTCTAGTTTAAGGCCATCCAACTCAACCATATGGTCGCACAAGGATCTGTCACAATAAGGTAAGATTATACATATCCATGTTGGGGTGATGATACAGAATCCATGGTTCCCATACGTCTAGAAATTTAGTGTTAGTGTTGCCAGGATACAGGACAATCTTTCATTTAGCATAATGTTGTCTAACCTTTGTGTAAATTCTCTATAGGGGATAATTTGTTTCTTCCAATTGCCTGCGATGGTCAGTTTAGCTGCTAGGAAAATTTGGTGTGCCAAAGATCTGTGGGATGTGTGCAAGCCCGGTATGGTGTCGTGCAACAACGCTTGCGTGGGGTCTTTAGGAAAGTGTTTGTGAAACAGACTCGATAATAAGCGATAAATCCTGGTCCAAAAGCGTGAGGCAAATGGGCACGTCCACCAGGTGTGTAACATATCTCCTGGTAGGGTACACCCCCTAAAACACTTGTTGGACAAGGATGGATATATTTTAGCTAGACGAGTAGGGACCATATACCACCGGTATAAAACTTTATAGGCTACTTCCCTATTTGTTACGTTTAGAGAGCTCTTAGAAATGTTTTTCCATACCCGTTCCCAATCTTCAATGGACCATGACAGATTAAGAGCCTTTGACCATTTAGCAGGGTAAGTATGCCTGTCTAGTTGTGGTAATAAATTGAGTTGGGAGTAGAGAGTAGACACCAGATGAGGTCCGTCCGGTGATCTAAGACATATACGCTCAAAACACGTAAATGGGGCGTGTTGAGCCTTTTTCCTCACCTTCATTGAGGACACCCAGTCTTGTAGTTGTATGAAGCGGAATAGTTCCTTGTTGGGGACCCCTTTATGTTCCTTAAGGTATGACCAAGTTGGGGGGGTGGTTGTGCAAAGGAAGTCGTATAGTCTGTTGTACCAATTTTCCCCCCACCATTTAAATAGAGTTGGGTTGTTGTATGCCGGGGGAAATAAAGGTTGAGAGCTTATGGGAAGAAGGGGTAGGTACGGAGATATAAGATCAGATGAATACTTTAGTGAGTCCCACACTCTTAAAGCGTGTTTCATAGGGGGGCTGAGTGTTAGTGGCCTGGCCGAGGGCGGTGACCATGGGAGTGCTGCAAGGGGGATCGGATAACTTTCTGGGATTTCCAGCAGGGTCCAGAGTGGGATGTTAGCCTCTCTGTGTATAGTGACCAGGGGCAAGAGCTGGGACACCTGGTAATAAAGTTATGTTTGGTACACCAATGCCTCCTTCTGTTTTATGTTTGTATAGTGTGTACCGTGGTGTCCTTGGCCGTAGGGGGTGCCAGATAAACTGCATTATGCTCCGTTGTAAAGATCTTAAGGCAAAGGACGGCACCGCTATTGGCAAGACTCTAAAGAAGTACAACAGTCTAGGAAGTATGGTCATTTTGACAGCTGCAAGTCTGAAAACCAAGAGAGGCTATGTTGCGTCCAATTGGTCAGCATAGATTTAAGGTGCTTAAACAGAGGTACATAATTGATCGCATACAGAGTTGCATATGTAGGGGATATGTTCACCCCTAGGTATTTCAAAAATTGTGTTTCCCACGTGAATGTGAAATTCTCCCGTAGGAGCTCATATGCTGGTTGTGAGAGGGTGATATTCAGAGCAGCTGATTTCACCCAGTTTACCACTAGGCACGATACCTCCGAAAAGAGTTTCAGAATGTGCAGTAGATTTGGGAATTGAGGTGTGGGGGTGGGTTATGGTCAGTAGGACATCGTCCGCAAATAAGCTAGTTTTATATTCCACACCCGCTACCTCAACTCCCCGCACATTAGGATTAGATCGGATCAGAGGTTCGATGGCTAGGGCGAAAAGGACTGGGGACAGGGGACAGCCTTGGCGTGTACCCCTCTGAATTTGCAATGGTATCTGAGACCCGTCCCAAATATTTAATCTTTGCTGTAGGTCTAGCATGGAGAGCTTGTAGCCATGTTAAAAAGGGGCCTTCAAAGCCCCAGAGTCCCATTATATAGCGTAGGTAGTCCCAGGAGATTGAGTCGAATGCCCGTTGTATATCTAGGCACAATAGGATGCCAGGAATGTTTCTGGACTTAAGCACATGTATTAAATGGATAATTTTTTTGATATTATAACCCGCTTGCCTCCCTGGGATAAACCCCACCTGATCCCTGTGGATCATCTGCGGCAAAAAGGTGTTAATGCGAACAGTTAGGATTTTCGTGAGTATTTTGACATCCACGTTTAGAAGAGATATGGGACGGTAATTGTTTGGATCTAAATGGTCCTTATCTGGCTTAGGGACCATTGAGATGTATGCCAGTAAGGAGGACGGGTGTACTGAATCTCCCATTCGGAGTGCGTTATACATGGCAGTTAAGTTAGGGGCTAGGATGGGTGCTAATTTTTTATAATAAAGGGAGGAGAAGCCATCAGGGCCGGGGGCTTTGGACGTTTTAAGGGACTTAATTGAGGCTACCACCTCCTCTTCCAAGATAGGCGAATGTAGCCAGTCAAGAGCTGTGTGGGGCACTGTGGGAAAGGTGAGACCTTTGAATAAGGCATCCGCTTTTGACCTACTAAAGGAGTCCGAGTTCGAGTAAAGTTTAGCCAAATTGTTATGAAATAGGGTGAGGATCGTGTCTGGGTTGGCTGTCACATGCCCTTGGGCAGTGCGTAACCGGAGTGGAGCATGCCTTTGAGGAAGCGAGTTCAACTTACGGGCCAGTGGTGTACCAGGTTTGTTAGACCTAGTATAAATTTTATGCTTGGACCATCGAAGGATTTTTTCCGTCCTCTGGTAAAGTAAGAGGTTCAGCTCAGTTTTAACCGAGGCCACTCGCGATAAGAGTTGTTTAGTAAAATTAGCTTTTAACTGGCCGTCAAGTTCCTCGAGAGTAGCATAGAGTTCATTTATTTTCCTATGCCTAAACCTCTTCCTGCGTGTAGCCAACTCTATTAGGTGGCCCCTCATGGTGGCGTTGTGGGCCTCCCAGAGAATCACTGGGGAGTCCACAGAGTCCGTATTCAGGGAAAAGTATTGGCGGGCATGCGACTCAATCTGCTGTAGAAGGTCCGAGGAGGTCAGCAAGCTCTCGTTTAAGCACCATAGGTACCGAGTGGGGGGCTCCAGCTACCAAACAGAAGCGTACCTCGTTTGCTGCATGGTCTGACCAGCGTACACTTTTAATGCGTGCAGAACGGTACGTAGATAGTGTATGTTGTTGAGTAAATACGTGGTCTATTCTGCAGAAGGATTGATGGGGGTTGGAAAAAGTGTAATCCTTTGTAGTGGGGTTCAGTTCCCTCCACACATCTACTAAGTGGTAATCACTCAATAGAGTGAGGAGGGAAGAGTTTTCCAAAGCAGCAGGCATGGCCTGGACATTCAAAGTGCCTGGTCTAGACCTATCAGCCCGCGGGTGGAGTACGAGATTCGTGTCCCCCGCTAGGAGTAAAATCCCTCTTGAGTGGTGTGAGATAACCATAGTAGTAAAAAGAAATGGTTAGGGATCAGCACTAAATTGGAGACACCACACCCCTGATTACAGTCGTAAACCAAAACAGAGAAAAGAAAAGATGGGGCTTTAAAAGTGTCTACTAAATAATGCCAGGGAGTATGGTTAAACATAATATCAAAAAATTCATCAATATAATAAAATTCCGTCCCGAGGTATCGGCGTGTGACGTGTGCGGCCGGGGGCCCCGGCCGCACACGTCACACGCCGATAGCTTGGGACGGCGTGTGTGTCTGTGGAGGGAATTTCCAAGAGACTGGAGACACGGGGGCTCGGGGAATGGGCTAAATTTTCTCTGGACGCATGAGAAGTTCCTATTACACCCACAAGGTGGCTCAAGGACAGATATGGGAGCCTGCCATTTGTGTTCCTGCCTGAGTGGAGGGGCTTCCCCGGATGCGAGTCTTTTTC